ATAAAAGAAGAGGAGAGAGAGTTAGAAAGGAAAGAGGAAATGAAGGAAGAATGGGAATGTTTTAGAAAGAGTAAGAAAAGAGGAGTTACAGCAAATGATAACAAACAAAATAGCAACATACACTCACACTACTAAAATAGTTTGATAAAATGTTTTCTGAATGATAGAGATGAACGACGAATGATGAACGAACGAACGATGACAAATGAACGGTAGTTTTTCAGCTTCTCTTCAGATCTGTGTGTATGTTCTTAACCACGTGTAACTATGTGGTTACAAGTCATGAATATTGAATGTATTAATTAATCCAGGATATATTGAATGCATGAATACATTGACCACCACAAACTCTTAAATATAATTCAGGGCTGTGAGCTAGTGTTACATATTACTAGCTATGCAGGAGTTTATGGGTGAAATCTGATTGCTAGATACATGTACATGTACAATATGCATTTGAAAATGTACAGGAAAATAAAAATTTTAGCCATTTTATTGGTCTATTATTACTGCGACGTACATACATCATATTAAAAAACTTAATTCTTGCTATAGGCAAGTACAATACTACGCTTTGAATATTAATTTATTTTCGTTGCATATTATCTTAAAATTGAATTGTTTAATTCCTTTTAACAATGCCAAGGGCTCAGCATTCAAAGCAAGTCAATGGAAAGAAGATGCACATGTCTATGCTCCCATTTCTAATCCCTTCTATTTACTCTATTATCTATAATTATAGGATGACCTGGGCTACGCCCCCAGGCCATAAAAATACCCAAGGCTATAGCCCACGCTTTTTTTTGAAAGAGGCTCCAAAATCACTCAAAATTTTTATTAAATTTTCTGATACACATTGATGTCCTTATGTTATATAGAAAGTTTGAGTTGATTCCGACTTAAATTTTTCGAGTTATGGCCATTTTTTAAAATTGGCCAATTTTTGAAAATTACCCAAGGCTATTATAGCCCATGGGTTTTTTTGGAAAAGTGGCTCCAAAATCACCCCAAATTTTTATTACATTTTCTGATACATATTGATGTCCTTATGCTGTGTAGAAAGTTTGAGCTGATTCTGACTTCAATTTTTCAAGTTATGACCATTTTTAAAAAATACCTGAGCTCGATACTGAATACAGTTATTAGCATTTTCAGAAAAAATTATTAAAAAGTATATAGTACTCCAAGACTCTCTTTAAGAACTGAAGTAATACAATAATTTTATGTGCCAAATTATCAATTTATAACATATAGGGGTTATATTTCACTGCAAATAAATTTTGCAAATTTCATGTTTTCATTAAATTCATGAAATTAAATTCCACAAAAAGGTGTGGCACACTAAAATAGGGTAGAGCTTCAGAGTAAACTACGGTAGCCATTTTCCTTTTTTAATGACCAATGACATCAATAATAGCATTTAGAAAAAAATTTATGCTCAAAAATAGATAATTATTTACTTGCTATATTACTCTAGAGCAATACCTGTATGTACATGTACATAATTATAATACACCAATCTAGAGTTGGATCAAATTATTAACAAGGGTCAAAAGTGTGGTATTCTAATAACACCACCATATGGTACTCTAACTGTGATTTGAAACATGATGTGATTTATGTCAGCAACAAATTCAATTCATGTCAGATTAAAACTTTTTCCTCACTTGTTGCATGCAGTTGTCTCCAGTTTTATTTAAGTTGGTTCCTCTAGTGAAAGCAGACCCATGGGACGAGTACTGGTCTGATGATTTGTTGTCTATCTCAACACAGTCTCCTAGCACTTTCTTTACTTCAATACCAACAGGACCAGTACCCTCTAGACCAAAATGCTGGAGATAACTGCAACAAGGAAAAAATTAGAATACAAAATTAGTTAGTCCTTCATCATTTCCTCTCTCCTTCAGTCTCTCTTTAGCTAATACATTATGAGCTAAAATGTACTAAAAATCTACCATAATATAGTTGTAATTAACTTTTAGGTAATTATTTTAGGCTTTTTTCTAAATGACAGTAGTTCTACAGAGCAATACTTGCTCTCCATTGAGAGACATCAATGATCTTGAATGTATGAAACCTTTGAAATGTACTCCACTTGGCAAAAGATAAACTACATGTATGCATTGGAAAGGAAGAGTAGATCAAACATCGTGTATGCATGATTGTTTACTCTTCTACTAATGTTTTTACCTGAAGTTAGTCATTAAGTAATAGTTTTCAAAACTGTTCTTTCTGCCAGATGGGTGTATCAGTGTATGTGTTTGGTATAAAGCATCTCATGAATATACCTGTGTGCTATTATCCCTAATTTGATCTCAAGCTCATGTGACAAATTACATAGCACTGCCACCCTATGTAATAACTATTATTTAATGACTAGCTTCAGTTAAAAACATAAACAGAAGAGTAAACAACCATGCATGCATGATGTTTGATCTACTCCTTCCTGTCCAATGCATATGTCATTATTTGGCAAGTGTTGTAAATGTTAAAGGTTTCAGTGTTGTCCCTTACACAAGATGATTGACATCTCTCAATGGAGAGCAAGTATTGGACTGTGGAACTACTGTCAAGCTGCCTCCAGTAGACCAGCTAATGGCCACCACTCTCACTCATTCAAAGCTGCAGTAGACAGCAAGTCGGGCAGTACTACATCAGGAGAGAAGACATCTAAACTGCCAGTAACTCTATCTTTTATTGCTATCCTCCTCCTCCTCTTTCACTCTCTCTCTTTATTAAGACACATCTTGATGATTTCTCCAACAGGTAAACAACAATTGCAACTTTGTACTTGTATATTTACTGGTATTTTATTATTAGGTAACTGCTACCAATTACAATGTACTACTGGTGTTACTGATACAGATTACCTCCAGTCAGTAGTCTTACCTGGAGGCAGCAGTTCTAACCTGATTTACAATAATCTCTATTTGATTGTTTGTCTATGTATGCTCCTCCTCTTATCAGGAGATGTTGAACTCAATCCTGGTCCTATGATTGATGATCGACCTGATATTTCATTATTAATTCAATGGCTTGAACCACTTGTTGACTGGAAACCATTTGGTCTCGGCTTACCAGGAATTACTTATTCTGACATTTCAAAAATTCAAGCTGAAAATACAACAATTGATGAACGAAAGTTAGCATTGTACTCAAAATGGCAGTACATAGCACCTAAAGCAACATGGGCTGATGTGATTAATGCACTGAAAAAGACAAGAGAGAACAACGAATTCGTACAATGCATTGAAAGAAACTTACAAGAAAGTGCACCATTATCAGCTAACAGTTATGCTGCTGCGAATACAAGACCACCACAAGCAGTTATAATGTTTGAATCAGCTGAAGCTGAAAAAGAAATAGTAGATACTTTAATTGGTCTTAATAATGAATTCTCTTATTTAATGATGCATGCACGGTTAGGCCTTGAGAAGAAGACTAAGAATGATCCTTACATTTTGCACAGTCTTATCATATGGTTGGAGGCTTACATGCATTGGAATGATAAACTAACAAATGCATCATTAGATGAAACTTTCAAAATTATTCATCCATACTATGATTTTATTGATTGCCGTCTGATAGTGGACATGAGTCAAATTTTTCTAAAAGGCTTCAAATTTGGAGATGATAAGTTAAGCATTGTTAGTGAGTTTAAAAAGTATAAAGAAAAAGCTGATAAACTTCGATTTTCATCTGAAGTAAGGCACCTTAATGAAGCATTGAAAACAACTTATGAAGGACATATACCAGATACATCAAATATGCCAATGATTTCAATGAAGCTTCATAATCAATGGCATTGTAGTGACATTCATGGGCTCTTCCTACTGATCCACAACTTACTTCCAGTTGGACACCAGCAGTCAATAATGAAATATATCAGTATATCTTTTGGGTGTGTTGTTATCAAATATTCTGTATATGGTTCCACAGCTGATAGTCTAATAGAATATACTGGAGGAAAGTTACAGTTTATGCGTCTCATTGGTGTATTTAGCTTGTGCATTAATGATCATCCTGTCCTTCAAGAAGATGAAAATATGAACTTCACCTTTGAACTAGCTCTCCTTAAGACTGTCACAGCTGATCATCATGAAGCAGTAAAGTTTCTTCTTCAACTAAAAACTGTTAATATTGATCATACTAATGAAGAAGGCAAGACAGCACTAATGTTAGCTTGTGAAAGAGGATATGAGGACATTGTACACAGTTTACTGTCTGCTGGAGCTAATGTTAACATTAAGGACAATAAAGGATGGACTACACTAATGATAGCAAGTAAATATAATCACATTTCAATCATTCACATGTTACTACAAGCTAATGCTAATCCTCATATAAGACTATCAGATGGATCAAATGCTGTAATGATTGCTAGTTACCATGGTAAGTATGAGGCTGTTCAGATATTGATTACTGAAGTTGATTATAAATGTCAAAGAGAAGATGGAGGAAATGCTTTTATGTTGGCTTGTCAAAATGGTCACACTCAAATAGTTGAACTGTTGCTGAAGGAACAGGCTGATCCTAATGTTCAAACAAATGATGGAGCAACTGCTTTTATGTTGGCTTGTCAAAATGGTCACACTCAAATAGTTGAACTGTTGCTGAAGGAACAGGCTGATCCTAATGTTCAAACAAATGATGGAGCAACTGCTTTTATGTTGGCTTGTCAAAATGGTCACACTCAAATAGTTGAACTGTTGCTGAAGGAACAAGTTGATCCTAATGTTCAAATAAATGATGGAGCAAATGCTTTTATGTTGGCTTGTCAAAATGGTCACACTCAAATAGTTGAACTGTTGCTGAAGAAACAAGTTGATCCTAATGTTCAGAGAAATGATGGAGCAAATGCTTTTATGTTGGCTTGTCAAAATGGTCACACTCAAATAGTTGAACTGTTGCTGAAGGAACAAGTTGATCCTAATGTTCAAGACAAAGATGGTGACACTGCTTTGATGGCTGCCAGTGATGAAGGACATTATGAAGTAGTTAAGCTATTATTAGAATGGAAAGCTGATCCTACTATTAAATCTAATGGTGGCTACACTGCACTATCACTCGCCAAAATTTTTGAAACAAAAACATTGCTCAAAAATTACTTGAAAAAAGAAAATTTCAAGGAAGATGATGCTATTAGTGTAAGTTCATTTGCATCTCAACAAACAATATCCAGTGGACATCATACAATATCAGACACTATTAGTATGAGAAGTTCTCATTCTACTTTAACTTTAGATTCAGGAATAGAGGACTTGACAGATAAGAAGTGATGTTGAAGTAGATAGCATATATATATTAATGCATTGAGATTAGTATTAGTCACAAAAGAAGTAGATAATAATATTATTAGTTGTTGTAATCACATGCAATTTTGTCTTGCTGCTTAAAATAATTTTTACAAGCTTATTTGTGCATACAATAATACATACAATATCATATATACATCATACAATATCAGATATTAGTAGTATGAGAGGTTATCCTTCTACTTTAACCTTAGATTCAGGAATAGAGGACTTGACTGATAAGGAGTAGTGTTGAAGTAGATAGTAATTTTTAGTGGGATGAGACTAATATCAGCCGCAAATAAAGTAGATATTAGAATTATAATAATTTTGTAATTACATGCAATGTATTTTTACTGACTAAAATAATTTTTTACGCTTATTTGCAGGTATATATAGCATCCTCATTCCTTCATATCACTCCTCTTTTTTCAGCTATGCACAGGATGTAAACAAAAGCAGTTTTTAAAAGTGTGAACAAGATTGTAACAAGGTGCGAACAAAGTGTCAAAAATTGAGCACAAAAATATAACTTTGTAATTGCTTTTATGCAAAAATTCCAAAGGATGCATTGCAAGCTCAATTTCAAGAAATATTCTTTTGATATAAATAATAGTAAGCATAAAAGCACAAAGTAAGGAATATTAAAATTTTATAAAATATAAAATAAAAAATGCAGTTGTGTAAGCTAAAATGTATATTCTTTAGAAAAAAAGAGGGAGAGACATGCTTAGAGTTAAGGTAAAAAGATAACAAAAATTATTATGAAAGCAGAAAATAATAATAAATAAGTGTGTGTTATCATTGTCTAATATCAGTATCACTTGACACAATGTGACGGCTCAAACGAGAATAAGACGACTCCACAAACGACTTCTTTCTCTCCACCCTAACTCTATCAAAAGCTCCTCTCACAGCACTCCTATCATCA